TGCGTATCCTACGTACATACATGCATGCATGCATGCATGTATGAACATCCATAAAATACCAATGTGTAGGACGAGAGTCAGTCCGATGAAAACTTCGAGGAGAAAGGATTTTTCCTGTTGTTTCTTTTTTTTTTTTTTTTATCATGTCCCGTCTGGAGGAAAAATTTTCGAATTTTATCGGACGAATATTTCATACTTTCGAGAGTGGGAGAGGACGGTGTGGCAAAGGTGGTGGTTCGTTCGAAAAGAAGAACACGAGAGAACTAGGAACTATTTCGCATCCATAGCATTGGTACCAGTCGAAATCGATGTAAATCGAAGGAAAAACGTGTCGTCTAGGGTGGAAGTAAAACTATCGTTGAAGACAAAGCATTTGGTGGCTTGTGTGATAGTAGATAGTACATGTGTGTGTAGAACGAATGCATTTTCGGTTGTTCCACGTGTGTGTGTGTGTGTGTGTGTGTCGAGAAAAACACACCGAAAATTCGATGTTACGGAATCAACGAATACGACGATACTTTGAAACTATAAATATATAAAGTCCTCCCATCGTTTTCTTAGTCGTCGATTTCAACCATCGATAAACTATATACATATATATAGCAATACAGTACTATATACTCCCATAGAAAGAAAGCATAATACCAAAGAAAAAAAAAAAAGTAGAACTCGTTGGAAGACTATTTTGCTATCTTCTTTCTATCGATATTTGTTTCTTTTTTTTTTCTAATATCGTCGATATAAAAAAATGATAAACAAATATCGTTTTTGGTAAACGATATTCTCTCTCTCTCTCTCTCTCTCTCTCTTTTATTATTTTTTTTCTATTTTTTTAATAAAACCACGTTAAACGTTTAAACCAAAAATATATACAACAAAACCACGTACACATTTTCCTCTAGCACAGCTTTGAAATCAGTGTAATAAATTTTGAATAAAATAAAAGGAAGAAAAAGGGAGTTGGGGTTAGAGAAAAAAAAAAAGAAAAAGGGAAAGACACGATCGTTGACCGCAACGTGGCCAAATTTGAAGCCGAAATCGACGATACGAGACCACCCCTTTCTCTATCTATCTATCTATCTCTCTCTTTCTCTCTTTCTTTATCCTATTCAACGTTTTACCACCGAAAGGTATCGCCCTAGCGTGCTTTTGGGGCCAAGTTCTCGAATCTTGGGGGTGCGGCTCGAAGAACTCGACGTACGTGCCGAGACTCGAAGGTACGAACTTTGGGTGCTTGCCAAGAGGCGTGGAACCCTTCTCTCTCTCTCTCTCTCTCTCTTTCTCTCTCTCTCTCTCTTTATTTTTCTTGTTCTTTTCTTCCTTTTTCTTCTTTTCTCTCGAACTAGTACGATATTTTTTCTCGGTCACCGACCTGTCAACGAAGTATTGTTCCTACAAAACGAAGAAGAAGGTACACTGTCAAATTTATATATGCTGTACTAAAGGTAGGAGGTTGGGGGGTGGGGGAGGGAGTGCGAGGGGGGGGGGGGGGCAACGTATGCGGTTAGAATATGTACTAAAGTGTGCAACCACCGAGAAGGGATGTTGGAGGCAAGATGTTACCTTGGTGTAATAGTTTACTTTGAAAATAGACCAATAGTGAAAGTAAATTCTTAAAAGAGCCTAAGTGTATACCAGATATTTTCTCCCCAAATATTTTAATTGAAGCTTCTAAAAATTGATATTTGATACGCTTAATGTATTGTAAAAAATGTAAATAAAACAATTCATTGTGCAATTTCAAATACAATAAATTTACTAAACTTTTATTTCAACCCTAATAATATTATTGGGTTGGCAACTAATTGCTGATATTAAAAAGCCATCGATAAAATCCCGCAATCATTTAGTTGCCAACCTAATAATATTAATAGGGTTGAAACAAAAGTTCATGAATTTATTGTATTTCAAATTGTATAATGAATTGTTTTATTTAAATTTGTATATTAATTTTAAAAATGCACGAATTGTTCTATTCACTTTAAGATATATATATATATATATATATATGTTAAAAGAATTGAAGGTGACGTAAATTTGAAGGAGGGTTTGATAATACAAATAACGATCCCTAAGAAACGATTGATCCTAAAAATAATGGAATCGATCGATACCTTCGTCGAAGCTTTCTTCTTAGGTCCCTTCCTTCTCTTATTCCTTTATCTATCGTCTCCACTTTCATATTTCATATCTCTAAGCGTAAATCCAATCTGCACGGAATGAAAAATGTTTCACTCGGAAATTGTATGACGTATATCTCATATCGTAAGCTTTTACACGCCTCTACCATAAAGCTCTATTTCTCTCTTTCTTTCTATCACTATCTCTCTCTCTCTCTCTCTCTCTCTCTCTTATTTAGATAAATATCATGATCATTTTGAACGTAAATGATGGAAAAGCGTAATGACAGAAAGCACTGACTGATTTATTGATAAATTTTTTATTATTTAATAATTGATTATCTCATATCAAAAGTATCGAGATTAAAATAATCAAAAAAGTTATTTTTATTATTTTCGATGAAAACACCTTTTGTATTATTAACGATCGTCCAATTAAATTAATAAAATATATTCAATGGGAAATAAAATAATAATAATAAAAAAAAAAAAAAAAAAACAAGTATAAGAGGAAATAATTGAATATAAAATTAATTCGAAAGATCGGCACTCTCTCATTTGACCCTTTTAATTTTAGTCATAAAAAAAAAAGAAAATCGACTACTTTTCGTAACACGGTGAAAAAAAAAAAAGAAAATTCATTACAACAAATTGACACGTTGTATTAGTAAATGCACTTTCAACTAAAAATTTGCTTTCGTAGTAATTCGTCTCACATACACAATGTGTGTATATGTCTCTCTGTGTCTTGCCGTTATTCGACCAACATATACATACAACGTGTATTTATTATCGTTTTTCGCTTTCCCCGACATTTGTGAAAAGAAAGAAAAAGAAAAAAAGAGGGAGGAGGTGGGGTGGGGTGGGGGACAATCGCAATCGTTCTCAATCTATCCCCCCCTTTTCCTCCCTTCCTCCCACCACGAACACCCATCGACCGATTTTACCAGCAACTCAGAGGACCCTATCCATGCAAAAAGAGAGAAAGAGAAAGAGAAAGAGAAAGAGAGAATGATAGTAGGAGAAATAATTTTACGTTGACTCGTTGACTCGTAGTTGTACCGCATTGCGTTCCCGCTTGCGGCTCGTCCGTCCTATACCTTTGAGCGTTTCTTCACAATACGCAACGATATTGCAACGATATCGTCCAACGATTTCCGACAATTTTACGTCTACCTGCTTCATACAAATTTCAATTTCTATATCCCCCCATCGTTCTTCGTTTCTCTCTCTCTCTTTCTCTCTCTATCTCTCTCTCTTTTATCCTCGTACATTCCCCGCCCACGAACAAGCACAATGAAAGGCAAATTTTATCGAGCTTATCGTTTCCCACCATCCATCCCAACTACATCGGACAAATCTTTCTGATTCTTTTGTCGTCATTTTTTATTATTCGTCCATCTTCAAACTTGAATAATATGTTTAAAAATGTATAGAAAAATAAACAAAAAAACAAAAAAAAAAAATACGATTGTTTCTCATTTTATAGGATTTTTCTATCAAATAAAATTAAAAAAAACAGATAGATGTGTGCAGATCACACAGGAGTAGAAGTGAAACCTTCAAAGAAAACCAAGCTTCAAAATAATTGTATTGTAATACAGTGCCATCTATTGAAAGAACCTTACAGAACCTAGATAACCTCTAAATAAAAATTGTGCTATATGTGTTAAGTTGGAAAAAATTACGTGGGAAATAAAATTAATTTCATTAAGATAAGTTGTTTAGTTTCGGAATTATTAGTTGACAAACATATTGTGACACTGAATTTTTATATTTAGAATTTTATTAATTAATTAATTAACTATATAGAATTAAATWTTATATATTGAATTTTATTAATTAATTAATTATTTTTGTTTCATCGCGGTTTCACGGTTTCTTCCGTTTTACGATTTTCAAATCACCCTGATTCTAAAGAAATGTTCACTTCAAACAAAAAATATACCTTATTTAAGTTATTAGGGTAGTACTTTTATTATTAGATCCTACGAACATCATTTTTTTTTCACGATATAAATATTTCACGTAACTTATTTAAAATCGATAAAGGTACAGTGGGTATATATATATATATATATCTCAAGAATACATATTGAAGAAACACATTTGAAGATGGGTAAAGAGAAATGAGCAATAATAAAGGATATAAGGTACGAACGAAAGAGAAACAAAAGAGAGAATTGAAACAACCGAGAAGTTTACTTATTGCTAGATATTAGTTTATAAACTATTCACGGTAATTTTGGGTTTCAAAGGAGACGTTATAGGTATAAGAGGATAGGATGGTATAGAATCGCGGTGTTCCATAACAGACAGTTAAAATTTTATAATGCACTCTTGACAGCGATAGCACAATGTATTACCAACTATCTCTCTCTCTCTCTCTCTCTCCCTCTCTCTTTCACACTAACTCTTCCTTCTATTTCCAGTACGCTCAGTACAAATACAATTACCTTGGGGCTGCAAAGTTGGCAAAGTTTATCCTAGACTACGAGGAGGAAGGTCTCGTTGATCCTAGCGAAGCAACAACGGAAGGATGGCAACCAACTGTGCTCATTCATTTCAGTCTCGATACCAATCCTTTGTCCTTCGAAAGTTTACTGATACCAACTATACCTCGTACACGTCGTTTTAACCCCCTTCGGATTACATTTAAAGTATTTTTTTTTCTTTCTTTTCTTTTATCTACTCCGTTATTTTAATTATCTTCTTCTTCTTCTTCTTCTTTTTCTTGTAACTTTGTTTTCAATCGATTAAAAATATCTGTAGGATTAGAAAAAAAGGATAAATAAATAATACTTCGTGTGTCGATCATTGACCGGTTAGAATCGTCACAAACAGTGTTTACTGTTTTTGTTTTTTTCTTCTTTTTTACAGGTGAGTCTGGCGGTAGCGTGAGCAGTCTGAACGTCGATCACGGAAAACCAACGAACTCGTGGGTAAGGCCGCAGTTCGATGACATTGCACCAAAAAATATCACTGCCATTGTTGGTCAAACGGCGGAACTGAATTGTTACGTCAAACATCCAGGCGATCGTGTGGTGAGTAAAAGAAAGAAAGAAAAAAAAAACAAGAACAAAACACAAAGAGACTTACACGTACAAACATACATATGTATGTATTCGCGTTTAAACGCACACACACACACACACACATTCGTGTGAGTTGATATAATTTTTTTTTTTCTAGCAAAATAATTTCCGTTACGGGACAGCACTTTTCCACTCTCTCGCGTGAGCTCGTTAGGATTTTGCTAAATAGAGTAAAGTGAGATTGGTATCATTCGTAATTGTCGGTTTAAATAAAAAAAAAAAGAAGAAAAAAAAACGATAAGAGAGAGAGAGAGTGTGCCGCCTCGAGCAAAAAGAAGGGTGGGTGGTTTATTCTCACGAAATCGTTTGTTCGTTCGTTGGGGCCGTGTTAAAAAGTTATCGAAAGAACTTGTGATAGAAAAGGTGGTAAAGAAATGAAAAGAAAAGAAAGAACGAACGAAGAAAAGAAATAGATTATGGATAACGATGCACGATGTGCTGCTGCACTGCACTTGCGATATAACGCAAATTATGAAAACGCATGCGATAGAAATGGGATGGATAGATGGATGGAATGAATGGGTGGGGGATGCTCGATTAAAAATATTTGCTCGTGGGGTTTATCGATTCGAAACTTTCCGATGCCTTCGAAGCAGCAACAAAAAAGAAAGAGTGCTGCGAACTCACACATTTTTCAGGTCCATTCTTTTTTTTTTTTTTTTGTAAAAAGATTCTTCTCTCAATGGTACGTGTGAGTGTGTGCTAACAAGTTGAAAGATTCTGCCTGCAGATTCGAGTAGTGTGACTCCTCCAATTCTATCGGAGAGAACCTTTAAAGGTTTATGTATGAATAGCCTAACTGGCTGGTTGGTTGGATGGTGGGTTGGTTGGTTGGTTGGTTGGTTGGTACGTAGGTAACGTACTTAACCCTATATGATTATCACGTGCGAGCGTTTAGGCGCAACTGCGACGAAATAATAATCGGATGTCAGCTTATTAAATAGTAATATTAAGGTAACTATGCTTTCTAGAATGTCTCGACGGCAACGTCGTTCTCGGTGTTCCGCCTAATCTCGCGCTCTGTGATTACGATAATAGAGCAGGGATTTGCATTTAACGTTTTGGACGTCCCAAGCGAGAGAGCTACTCCGAATTTACTTGGTTCCTTGCTAGCTAGCTAGTTACTACTACAACTACTACTATTACTATTATTATTATTATTATTATTTTGTTTTGAGTAACACGAGAAAAAGCATAAGCAAGAATAAAGGATAATAATATGAGCATTTAGATGCAGAAAGAAATAAAATTATAAAAAAAAATAAAAAATAATAAGAACCAAATTCTTAATGAATATTTCGAGTGAAAATTGTTCCAATAGCATGGAATCAATGTTGCGGAAAATTTTCAAGGGATAAATTATTTATCGTAAACCGAATACGCAACGAGTGCGAAATCGTAATTGAACGAATACGGGTTAGACCGTTTGGCGAATTCGTTCGTTCATTCGTTTGTTCGTTCATTCGCATGTACCGAACATGTAACCCCCTTCGTACTTTATAGTTAACTACATACGAACGATATACCTACACATATGCTCTATAATTAAGCGTTTAATCGTTCGGTACTCGAAGATACGTACATTCGAACACGTTGACTATATATATATATATATATATATATATATATATATCTCTTAATGTAATTTTAAAAAGAGATTCATGAAAAGCGATAGATTTGAATTGTGTCAAGAAGCGAGGGATAGAAAAAAAAAATGAATGAAAGTCAGCATGCCGCCATTTATATATAAACATGCTACAAATAAAAACTGTTTCTTAAACGAAAATCCCCACTCGCACCTTCTTCTTCTTCTTCTTCTTTTTCTTATTATTATTATTATTATTATTTCTCTCTTTCTATCTCTTTATTCGAGAATACATCAAGATTTAATCAGATTTTCTATCCTACGAGTTCTCTTCCACTTCTACTTTCCCAATTATTGTAACTGCTTTGCAACTTTAGAAAAACTTGCCTATTTATTCCTTTTGACTACAACACAAGGTTTTCTGCTACTACCGACTGGTTCCATTCAACACAGTAGCATTATTCCATTGCCTTTACGGTTCGTGAAATAGACGTAGTCCTCCCACCTTCCTACCATGATTTGAATCCATCGTTATTCAAAATACGCGACTTTCATCGTTCGTAATAATCTGCAATTATGCATCGAACCTCTCTCTCTCTCTCTCTCTCTCAACTATCGTTATTTTGTTTACTCGCTAAGATATTAGAAAGTTCTTAAAGGTAACGTCGTAATCATTCTCGTAAATTTAATCGTTTCTGACGTGACGTAAATCACGCTCTCGTAGAAAAGCAAGCCGAAACTTTCTTCTTTACTACTAAATAATATTTCATGAAATCTTCATTATATACTTTGTAAAGTGAATTAATAGGATTCTACTATGAGAATCTCTGGGATTGAAATTTTATCCTAAATACATTGACATGTCATATATATATATATAGTATATATGTATAGTTTGAATACGAATTACGTAGAGAAATAGGAAGGATACCGTGCGAAATGATTATCGACGCAAAAGATTTTGGGATAATCGTGGACCCTTGCAAATTAGCAACAGCAGTAGTATTAGTAGTTCCAATATGCATATCGACTCCGAGAGATATTCTAGTAAATTTAATGACCGTGTAACATTCACTTCCACCGCATATCCTAATGGAGTTTCAGTGAAAAGCCGAGAGCACCGCATGTTCCTCTACTTCCACACATGTTCTTTATGTAAAAGTAGATGATACCGTGGAACGCGTACCCATTATAGTCGTAAATATGAATATCTATTAAACGCTAATGTTATGGTCGAATATTGCACGGATACGAACTATCGTCATCGGATCTGTTTAATTATATTAATACACCGCGATGGATTACAATGTCCWACGATTAGATACGATGGTGTATATATATATAACGAAATTTTATCACGAAATTAGAGAAGAAAATGTCTCTTCGTTTAATTYGATTGAAATAAAAAAAAAAAGAAAGAAAGAAAGAAAATACTTTTTGTATCCATGATATTACAAAATCGATTATTATACTGTCACCGAAGTATGCTCTTAATCTCTCTTCTCTTAGATTTTATCCTAGAAATTGTCGGCTAAATTTGAGGGTAATAGTATGAGATACACTATGTATGTAATTGTAAGTACATACGTACGATGCATAAGTGAAATAGTACTGTGTGTGCGTGTGTATGTGTATAGGTAGGATATGTGGGTAGATGAGTCTCGGCCACACAAGGGTTGCCCTTTAATTGCCAGATACGAGAGTCTCGACACAGAGAGAGAGAGAGAGAGAGAGAGAGAGAGAGGAAGAAGAGTGAATGTTGGTTAAAACAGGATCGTGCCAGAATCTAGCAGGAGGTGGCTTCAACCTGGCTCCAATTCCAAGCTAGCTAGCTGGCTTTCAACCTGGCTTCGACCAAATGAACCGATCAAGCATACTCGACGAAGTAACTGCAAGGGATATGGGTCTGTTCAATTCTCTCTCTCTCTCTCTCTTACTAACTCACTCACTCACTCTACTATCTACTATCTATTTTAACGTGACTATACGTATATATGTAGAGACGTTCTAACGTATAGACGTTACATGACAGACACAGGCGCCCACGCGTGAAACAGAAAACCCGTTCATACGCATCAACTACACGTGAGTCCGGTTAATGATCAAAGCCCTTCAAGATCTGTTCCATGAACTGCATTGATGTGGTACTGTTATACATATATATATATATACATAGATTTCTATTGGATTTCGGCACATCCTAATTTTCCTTTCATTTAATTCTATAACATTTTAACATTATTTGTTTTCAAAATTATAAATGGTGTTGGATGAATCCATTCGTTCATTTCATCGTATTAGCTTCTGAAATAATAGAAAGAAAATGGATAAAGAATAGAGGACGGTTGGTCCAATCCTGTTGAAAGATGACTAAAAATAAAAAAATAAAAAAAAGGAGCAAGAAAAACTAGTCGATCGATCGAACGAACGAACGAACGAACGAACGAACGAATGAACGAACGACGTATTAATTAACGTTCCAGCTCTTCGGCATCGTTAAATGGCAAACGACACTCGGGGACCAACTCGTCGAATCGATGACGATACCACCACCACTATTACCACCACCACCACCACCAGTACCGTGGTGCTGCTTTCGAGAATATTAAAAATCCTCGAAAGAAAACCGACAAAGGTATGATCCGGGTCTATGAATTGCGAGTTTCAATCAACTTTTTTTTGTTCTCCTCCTTCTACCTTTTTTTTTTGTTCCATTCCTTGAAACAAACGCGTGTTCCGTGATTAAACCGAAAGAAAAGATATCGGAGGAGGAGGAGGAGGAGGAGGAGGAAGGGAAAGAAAAAGTATCCAAGAAGGATTATTCGTAGGAAAATTGGTCTCATTTAACAAACGATAATCCTTTTTCCGTGTAAAAAAGAAAAAAAGAAATTCGTAGATATCCTAGTGGAAGATGGTTATCTCCTTCTCTCTCTCGAATCTCATCGATCTTTCTCCATTTGTGTATCTATGTACTAAACTTATCTCTCTGACGTTACCAAAAATATGATATTTATGCATCGCATATATCAACGAATTGCGACACATTCACCCTTTCCCCCTACTCTCCGTACCACCACCACCACCATCACCACCATCACCAATAACTATCGTCGTCGAAGAGAGAAAGAGAACTCGAGATAACGAATTTTATTATAACTCTCGGTCCTTCGCAAATCATAAATCTGTGTGTGCGCATTGCTTTAGAGATGGTTGTTGGTGAGATTGTGTACGAGAGAGAGAGAGAGAGAGAGAAAGAGAGAGAGAGGAGGCTCGAAAAGTCGCGAGAAAATTTTTGCGCGAGCACGAACACAACTTAGTCGTGGTTTAAAGTCAATTTCAAAGATATTGTGCGAAAAGTAGAGAA